GGCAAGCGCACGCGTCGGTGCCCTCCTCGGCGTCCTCGGGGCGCCGTCGTCGCCTGCCCCCAGCCCGTCTGCCGACAGCGAGCGCAGGACTTCACGGCGACCCTGCCCGCGCGACCGCGGCCCTGGCGGGGCCGACTGGGAGCGGGGAAGGGCCTCCACCTCCTCATCCACGTTGGTCCGCACCAGCTCCATCATCACATTAATGCCATCCACCTTCGCCACGCCTGCCTTCTGGAAGCAGTGGCGACGGGCCTCGGCGACGTGCTTCACATCCCTGAGGTTCGACAACATGATACGAATCATAGTGGACACTGCGATGGCCCAAACCTCTTGCGCCTTGATCGAGGAATTCGCCTTCTTATCGTCGTCAACTAATTCTTCACGCTTCGCGCATCCCCACCAGCCCATCTCAAAACAGCAACTCTAGCGAAGCATGCCGACAGTCGTGTTTTTCAGGCGTGTTTCCGCCTGCCCCCGCATATCTCCCCTGTTCCTCCTTCCTCCCGCCTCCTTGTACATCCTCCTTGTGGTGGGAGCGGGAGAAGGACGAGGCGGAGGAGGAGGGAGAGAAAGCGCTCCTCGTGGTTTGAGTCGTTCGGGCTTCTCGTCCTGGTGTGAGTCGTTCGGGCCCTTCTTCCTGGTGTGAGTCGTTCGGGCTCTTCGTGGTGTGAGTCGTTCGGGCTCTTCGTCCTGGTGTGAGTCGTTCGGGCTTCTCGTGGTGTGAGTTGTTCGGGCCCCTCGTCCTGGTGTGAGTCGTTCGGGCCCCTCCTCCTGCCCGTCCAGAAACGACGCCCAGTAGAGGGTCGTCCTGATGGGCTTTTCGGCGTCTTGGGTGCCTCGGGGGGGCCTCTTTGGGCCGTTTGGGATCCTCTTGGGGGCCTCCTGGGGGGCCTCTTGGGGCCATCTTGGGGCCTCTTGGTGCCTCCTGGGCGCTTCTTGGGGTCATCTTGGGGGGATCGATCAAAGAAGAGGGGGGCTTTAATTAGCGCTGCCCCCTCAGAAGGCCCAAATGGGACCAAAACCTTGGTAAAATCAATGATTTGGGCTTGAAAGAAGAGGGGGGCTTTAATTAGCGCTGCCCCCTCAGAAAGGCCAAAATGGGGCCAAAACCGTAGTAAAATCAATGAGTTTGGCTTCAAAGAAGAGGGGTGCACTTTTCTGCCTCCCCCCGTCGGGGCCAGAATCCTCGTGAGCGGTGTCGTTTTTTAGCCCTCCCAGGAGTCGAAAATGACCCCTCTGACGACCCGCGGAAGGACCTCTCCAGGCCCAGGGGGAGGGGGTAGGGGGAGGGGTAAACCCCTCCCCGAAGGGGAAGAAGGGGGGTTGAGAACAGAGAGAGCTCGCTAAACCACTCACGCCCAAAGGGCTGGTGGGATTTCAATGCTTTCTCGAGCTTGAGGGCGGGGGCGCAGCCGTTCGCGCATACGACGAGGAGGCGCGTGAGCAACGGTTTGACGTGCAACAACAGATCAGCGCGCGGAGCCGTCTTCCACGTGAGGCTGTCCTGCACAACAGGCTCGAGGAACCCGTAGATGTCTCTGCTATCGTTGCGATCCTCCCTGATGAATTTCTCGATGCATTTCTGGAGGTCGCCCACATATATCAATGGATTAGGGTGGTGGCGAGTCGACTGGGCGGGCGCATCACTCTCGGCAGTCGGCATCGCGGTCGACCACTTGCCAGCGGCCATCGCCTCAGGGAGCTGGCACAGAGAGCACAGAGGAAATGTGCGATACTCAACTGTAAGATCAAAACCGCGCGGAATCACAACTTCTCAAAAAATGCCCGAATCGGCTACGGAGGAGGATGGAGGAGAGGATGTTGTTGTATATTTGCGAACCCAAACTAAACCCAACCTAGACCCACACTGAACCAAAACTATCGATCATGTGTGTTGTTTTCGGGTTGAAACTAAACCCAAACTAAACTTTCATGATTGATTCAAATCCAAGGCCAAACTAGACCCAAACCAAACCCAAACTCAACCCAAACTAAACCCAAACTAAACCCAAACTAAACCCAACCCATCTGAGTTCGGGTTGAGTTTGGGTTTCAAGTAAACCCAAACGAAATTGTCAGTAATATATATGAGAGCAACTTCGAAATACCTGGCCATTCTTTTCCCACCAAACACGAATGGGGCCGGCTCTGAGCGCCCACTTTAAAATTCGAGCACGAAATGCAAAATTGCGAAGCCGGAGAACCATGTCAACAAACATATGTCATCATGTCGGAGTGCACGTCCAGAGCCAGTCCGACCATGTTTGGTGGAAAACATACAAAGTCCCCAAATAGTTTCTTGCCCATCGACCTTTCTGGGAGTTCAGTTTGGGTTCGGTGTCGATCCAAATTCAACCCGCAAGCTTCGGATAAAACCTTATCCTACGTCCTTTGTCCCTCCCCTCTCTTTCTACCCTGTTGTGTCAACTTCAACTATTTTTTCATCTCTCGACGGTCTTTTTTCATTAATTTCCTTACTACGTGCTTTTCACTCTCATCTTCCCTCGCAAGACTGCAGTCGACTAGAAGTATAATACCTACTTAGGACAGGGCACGAAGCGAACCAGGAGGGAGGACCACGCTATCGGGCTCCGCGTCGACGGACAACTTATCACCGCATGCTCCCAATAATAACTACTTCACATCACAATAAACAAACTAGATCTAACGTAAGGCTACACCGATGACAAACCTACCACACCATACATCACAACACCATAAAACTACATGGTATGACGTAGACCCACAAGGGCTTATACATATACACCTGTTGTAGCAACACCATTTCGAACAACCTAACCCAACCTAACATAACATATAACCTAACCTAACAAAACAACCTAACCTAACGGATAACTTAAGCTAATATTTAGCCTAACCGATCGTTTAATTATTAGTTTATTATATTTGAGGGCATCGGGTGGTCTATTTCTTAGGCTTAGGCTAGTTCTGAGGGTAACGGTGAGTCTAATTATTAGTCTATTTCGGTAGTCTAGATTAACCGAATTAGGTAACTTTAACCTTCGTAGGTTAGGTTAGACGAATTCGGTTAATCTAGCCGATCGGCTAATTTTAGTCTCATGCAGTCTTAAGGGCTCCTCCTCCCCTCGTCCCCCTCCTCCTCCTCCTCCTCCTCCTCCTCCTCCTCCTCCTCCTCCTCTCCCTCCTCCTCCTCCAGCGCCATTGGCGCCTTCGAAGAGGAGAAACTGGAGAAGGAGGAAAGGGGTAAGGAGGATGAGGAGGAGGAGGAAAAGGAGGATGAGGAGGTGGGGGACATGGAGGGGAATGAGGCATAGGATGAGGAGGAATATAAAGTGGGGAAGGAAGAACGTCATGGTCTGGTGCATGGGGCCTCAGAGTCCTGAGGCATGTATTGGGTAGTTGTAGCTCCCGCGGCCAACATTGTCAGCGTTCGCCGTGCATTGGAGAGTCGCGCGGGTTCCCTGACAGTGGAATCCGTCGTGGCATTCGGTCCATCCCAGGATGGTTTTGAGTCAGTGTCTCAGGGATGTTTCGTGGAGTCTCTTGGGAACGCGTTCGGGGGACGAGGGGGCGCAGCGTCATAGTCCTGATGGAATGTTTTTTATTTTCCGCAGCCAGAAAAGGTTGGTCCGCTCCGTGAACGCATTGGGAAACGGACAGAAACCCATGGGCACAGACGGCCAGCATGCGTGATGTGATGAACACTTATCGTATGGGGTCCGGCCCATCCCGCCGCGAGTCAGAGGCCAGCCAGATGGTTGATGGGGTCTCGTGGGAAGCCTCTCGAGGGCGTTTTGAACATTGGGGCCTCCTGGGGGGCCTCCAACGGGGGTATTGGGGGCGTTTGTGGGCCCTCTTGGGGGTCCTTGTGGGCCTCTGGGGGCCTTTGGGGCAACCCTGGGGCGTCTTGGGGCGGACGGCTCGAAATGCCCATTCGGGTTCCCCCTTCTGTGTCTTCTCTTGGGGCCGTGTTGGGACTATCTTGGGCCGTCATGGTTTTTGTTCGCCGTCGTGGGGCCCCTTTGGGCTGCCACGGAGCCATCTTGGGAGCTGTGTGGGTCATCTTGGACGTCGTGAAAGCCAAAGAGGCGAACATGCTGAACATGCAAGTTTCCCCATGGGTATGGGACGACGTTTGTTTTTTTAGGCACAGGCTGCTTATGGGCGCAGCGGGCTGTCTCAAAGCCAGATTTGGCGTTTTCGAGCGATCTTTTGGCGACTCCAGGTTTCATGAACCGTCTTGGAGGCCTGTCGGGGTCCTCTTGGCCCGATGTGGGGCCCTGTGTGCCCCCATGGCGCGTTCGTGCCGGGGCTGTCCGAGGCCATGGTTGGGGGTAAAATTGCTGTTTTGGGGGTCCGTCGAGGGAATTCTTGGGGGGGCAGAATCTCACCCGCCTAGAGACCCACGATGGGTTGGCGGATTCTACGGCTCTCTTTCTCTGGATGCCAGTCTTCAGCTCCAACAGCAGTTGGAGGCCCGAGTGTAGCAGCAGGTGCGGTGCGTGACTTTCAAAACAGAGGTTCGCAAGCGCAGTCTTCGGTGTGGACCTCGAGCCGTTCCTTCTTCGTGCAGCTACTGCTGGAGGCCTGGAGTTGGGAGGAGGAGGAGGAGGAGGAGGAGGAGGTGGCATCAAGAAGCGCCGAGCAAGAGTGAGGCGGGCCACGTCGGGCTTCGTTGGCTCTGCCCGGGCGCGCCACCGCTTGCCATGAAGGGGCCCAGCCCGCCGGGGCCAGCTGGCAGACCGCTCTGCTCTGCACGCCTCCAGGTCTCGTTTCGACGTCTCCAAGTCGATTCGACTCGATGCTCTTTCGATCGATTTCGATTCCGATCCGACTTTGGATTCCGATAATGGGCCCGGCTTCTCACTGGAGGCCTCACACGCCTGTCGATTCCTGCCGCTTCGACTTCTCCCGATTTTGCGGCCGAAATTGCCGATCCGAAGCATTCCGATCGCCGTGCGCCGATCCGGCTCATCGATTCGGTTCTGGGTTCTTCTGCGTTTCTGGGCCGCCCCGAGTACGTGTCCATCCGCTACGACAACACCAGGTTCAACGGCTACATCCCAGCGTACCACCTGACCATGCCGCGGGCATTGCACAAGTGGGACGGTCACCGCTACAGGAGCGACGTCCGCAGCACATTGCGGCTTCTCTCTGCCGCGGTTGCTTTCATTGTCGTTGTGATGTGGCGGTCGACGCTGGGCGGCCAGTATCACCGTCTGTTGGTATCTTCGCGTGTATATACTGAGGTACTTGGCCCTGTCCCATGGGGCGTCACAGAAGGGCCCGAGGACGGCGTACAGTGCATGCGTAATTGTATGGCCAGCTATCTTGGCGACAGGTGTTGATCAACACTATGTACCCTGTGCTCGGGACGCCAGTTGCCACTAAGGCGTGGACGACGACGACGACGACGACGTTGACGGCGACGGCGACGGCGACGGCGACGACGACGACGACGACGTTGTTGGTAGATTTGACATGAATCTGACCATCAGTCTGCCCCTACTTTAGATATACATATATATATATATACTTATTGCTTCGCCGCGCATGTCCGCCAGCGCGCTCGGGAAAGCAGCACGCTGCAGGGATGAACGGGTGCATATCTGCGTTGCGGTTGCGTCGCCTCGTGGATGGGACTTCTCCAGGAAACCTTCTTGGGGCCACTGATGGCCTACGGAGCCTCGGGGCCGCCAGTGGGTGGGATTTTTGGGGAAGTGGAGGGCCGGCTGGCGGAGTCTTGGGCCAGGATTGGGGTTGTCTTCGGGCCTTCTTTTTTGGGTGGCCGCAGGTCGCATTGAGGATGTAACCAGAAATGCGGCGATTTGGGCCCCTGGGGAAAGGGAAAAGGGGAAGGGGGACAGGCAAATGTCTCACTTCCGGCAAGCAGGGGTTCGCGGATTGCGGTCCCTCGTCGTCCTCCCCGGTTTCCCATCTATTCCTCCCTCTTCCTCCCACCCCCGTCCGACTTCGTACCGTGGGGCTCGCCGCGCGGTCGGCCAGACGCCGGCTCGCCAGGAGGGGTCTGAAGATCTGCGCCACCACCTGGAAGAGCTCTCGGCGGCGCGACTACCGGCCGGAGCTCCTCGGCGTGAAGGAGGGCCAGATCAGGAAGCCAGACGTTGTTGCCTCCTGCGTGCGCGTCCCTCTCGTGCTCCTCTGCCGCCTCCTCTCTCCTCCTCCCTCGTCCCCTTCCTCCCCCCTTCGTCCCCTTCCTCCCCCCTTTGTCCCTTCGTCGTCATCCCCGTTCCAGCCTCGTGCGCTCGGAAGCCCGCGTGGGGGTCGGGGGGAGCAGGAGGACCCCGAGATCTGAAATCTCTGAGGTTGCAGCACCAACGGCCCCATCCCAGATGGGTATTTGAAAGGGCACGCGGTCGCGTTGCATGCCACGATGGCCCCACGGGGGACAGTGCCGAGGGAATTGAGATGAAAGCGGATGGGAGGGAGGATGATGGTGACGGAGAGGAATAATGATGTTAAGAGAGGAGACTGCAGAAGAAATATAGTGTGCGCTACATAGGTAAGGCGTGGGTGCTGAGTGTCTTGAATCGGACTGCGCTTGCTCGCTGTCGTGCTCGTCAGATGTGTGCCCGATGACCCCGTGCCCTCACAATATGCTGTGTTGGTTGTTTGCGCATAGGGTGGTTCACACCTGACAGCTTATATGATCACTACTTTGGTTGAGCGTGTTAGAGGATGATTGAAGTCGACTTTTTGGCGAGCATGAAGGAATTTGAAATTTACCACGATGAGCCTTGTGTCGGGTGTTGCTAGAGGTGCCCCTGGGACGAGATGCTCCCAGGGTCGCCAGGCATGTCCTCGCGCTTTACGTTCAGATCAGCGCCTCTGCGTTGAGGCGACGTGCAGGGCATCGTCCCGGACGTGCATGATGCTAGAACCTTGGCGCGAGATGCTCGCTTTGTGTTTTCCAGGGGCGCTTCAGTTCGGGCCCCAGGTAAGAAGGCATATTTGAAAGGGGCCGCCCATTCGTATCGTCCGCCGTCGTGCAAACATCGCGAAGCATCGAGAATGTCAGCGGTGCGTTTGGCCGGGGGAGTAGGGCAATTTCGCAGGCATGCTGATGGAGACCAACAGGCGCCTTGCGGTAAGCCCAGACACCCGCCGACGCCGTTTCTGCGTCGGTCGCGGGCGCGGAACTACATTGTAGGGTCTCGTTAAGCGAGCGTTCTTTCGCGCATGAGGGCATGGGCGGGTTTATCCGTGGAGGAATTCTTCACAGCTTGGCGAGGTACATCAGAGTGAGGGGGCCGAACGGTCTTACAGTGTCCTTGGGTGCGTGGCTGAAGTGGGGATCCACGGTGAGGATTATGCTTGTTGTTGTTCTTGGTGTCGTCGTCCTGGCGGTTTGGTCGCGGCGCGGGTGGGTCGCTGCGCGGGCGGGTCGCGGCGCGGGTGGATTTCGGGTGGTTTGCGGCGCCGATTGTTCATGGGTCGCGCCGTGGGTGAATCGCTTGGTCCCCTCAGTGACCGCTCTGGGGGTCCTCTTGGAGCTGTCTTTGGGCCCCTTTTGGAGCCGTCTGAGGGCCTTCGGAAGGGCCCAACGGGGCCCGAAGACGGCTCCAAGCGTGCCCCAAAACAGTTCCAAGAGGGCCCCATGAAGGCTCTAAGATCGGTCACGCCAGAGAGGCTTCGCGTGACCCGTCTTAGGGTCCTCTTGGGGCGGTCTCGGGGCCCTCCTGGAGCCGTCTGAGGGCCCTTAGAACGTAGGAAAGGCCCGAGGGGGCCCCGAAATAGTTCAGGACCCCAAGACGGCTCAAAGAGGACCCCCAGCGCGGTCACGCGGAGCCTTTCTTGCGTGACCGATTTTGAAGCCTTATTGGCGGCCTTTTCAGGCCATCCTGGGGGCCTCATGGAGCCTTCTCGGGGCCTTCTAGGACCCTCTGCCAGGGCCCTCGGAGGGGGCCACGCGGGCCCCGAGACACCCCTAAGAGGCCAAAAAGACGGCCTTCAGAGGCCCCCAATAGTGCCCCAATATCGGTCGAAAGCATCCCACATTTTCCAAACCGATTATATATATATGTATATATACAATTTCAGGACATCTCAAACGCAGAGGCCCTCACCTACTTTGAAAAAAACACTTGTTCGGAGGGTGATTTCCAAAGAAGGCAAGAAGGGGCCGCTCCGGGTCCCTTGGGGGGGGGGAGAGGTCGGAGGAGTTCGGAAGAGCTCGGAGGAGCGGGCCGGGCAATGGCCCCCTCGATGGCTGCGGTGGGTTCGGGTCCCAACGCTATCCCCCGCGCATTTGCACAGAGTTGCGGTAGTCAAAGTAAGTTTCCCTTCCCGAGGGCGCTCTTCAAAGTCTCGTCAAATTTCTGCGAGGATGTTTCGAACAAAAATGCTCGCGTCAAATCTCGTCTGAGTTCGTCAAATGTCGTCATATCCCGTTTCACTTTCGTCAAAGTGAGATTCGTCACATCGCGCCATCGTTAACATTGCCTCGTCAAACTATTTGGGAGAGGACAACAATGACAACGAAGTGGATCGCGTTGCAACCCGAACACGGCGCAGTCGCCAAGAGCAGGTCTCCCAGAGCTTTCAACAATCTGGGGGTATGGTAGGGTAGTCGGCCAGTAATCGTGCTCTGGGGTCGTTCGGGCCCCTGTGCAGGTTTTCCGGGGGTGGGCGAGCAGGCCCCCAGAAGGCACCGCAGACCCCGTTGCCCAGGCTGCTTCCGGGTGGCGGGCCGCGGAGGCCATCATTCAGGCCATGCGCGAGCGTCGTCGCGACGCCGTCGAGGGTTGAGCTGCGAGGAGGCTGAGCTATGATGATCAGGCCAAGGTCGGTGGGTGCCGGGTGCCCACTCGAGTCATCCTCTTCGCTTCGTCGATGCTTTGCGGCAGTCCTTGAATTCTTGTCGTTTTGCGCGTGCCCGCCGCCCCATTCAGAGCGGATGCCTAGGCGAGTCGCCGTTATCAGGGAAGTGCAGCAGCGCGCAGTGAAACAAAGAAGGGGGCAGCCGCTGCCCGTGGAAAAAGGGATGTGGACGGGTGGGAATGGAAGAATAGCTCCGGCTTCGTCGTCGCCAGGAGCCCCAGGAGAATCCTCAGAGGGCTGCGCAGACGGCCCAAGATGGTTTCGGGGGCTCTCTGGGGGCCCTCTTGGGGACCCCGTGCATGCCCTCCCTAGGCCGCGCGATATCTTTTGGGCTCAGGCTCCAACGATTTCGCACGATAGCCTGTTGCTACGATATCGTTTGGGCCTGGGCCCCGACGATAATACGCGGCCAGGGGGGGGCCCGTGGAGTTTCCAGAAAATTCAAGGGGGCCAGCGAGGGTCGGGGGAGGGCCCCAAAAAAGGCTCCCAGTGGGCAGTAGCAAGCATCGCGCCAACCTGCGTCAGACGGAGTTTAGCGCGATGCGCCATGCGCCCCTCTCGGAGCCCCCTCGGGCCGCTCTAAGGGCCCTCTCGGGCCCTCTGCGGCCTCTCTCGGCGCCCTTTCCAGCCTGTCTTGGAGCCTCCTCTGGGGCCTTCCAAAAGCTTCGGGAGGGCCCCGAGGGCCCCCTCCAGCGAAAACTTTTTGTCTTTTTCCTCAAACGTTCTACGCCCAGAGGGATGGGTGCTGGAGAGATTGAAGGACAAGGGCGAGGTATCGCAGGTCCAGCTGTAGGAACTTGCAACGCGTTGATGGGTCGGTTGTAGGGTACGCGCCAGCCGTTGAAAAGTATGTATCTTCGGAGCCCCAGATCCCAATCTACTGCAAGCGCCTTCCTATGTCAAGAACTCATATGATTCAAAAAACGGTTTGCTATTCTGTGGGAGTGCCTGAACCCCATCTACTTGCTCCGCCTTCCTACTTCATGTTTCTACCCACGTCTTCCGACCTGCGTGCATGGCGTGGCAAAAGGTTATTGGCGAGGTTTTTGTAGTGGTGTCTATATGGATGTTACATGTTTTTTGCAGGGTGACTGCAGGGTTCTTTGCGAGGTCTCTACGCGGGGGCCTTCGCAGGGGCCGTCGCATGGGTTGGCGGTGTGGGGTGGGGGGGGCGCCGCGCGCGACCGTTCGTTCGAGCGGCCGCGCTGCTGCTCCGCGGGAGGCTGATTCGAGCAACGCAATTTGCGAAGACTCGGCCTTTACCCGGTGCTTGGTTCGATTTCTTACCCGAGGGCACCCGGTCCTGGGGGCGCCTTTTCTTGGGGGCGCATCTAGCAACCCCGACTGTGATTCCACCGGCCCGTTTAGACTTGAGCCAGTTGATTCGGCAAACTGTTTTGATGCCGTGGTCCTTGTTTGGTGAATTCGAATCCCTAAGTGGTTGTGCGCGCAAAATCGTCAGGGTCGTGCGTGGTGTGGGTACGGGGGATATTGAAGTTTACGCACCACGATACGCTTGGTGATTTCACCAGCCCACCTAGACCTGAGTTTGCTGAGTTGGCGCCCCTTCTGGATGCCGTGATTGCTGCGTGTCTCGGTGGCATATTCGATCCAATGGCGCGGATATCCACGGATCGTATCAGCAGCGCCGAGATGTGTCTAATTGGGCAATGTGTTTGGTTCGTGCGCTTGGTTGGCGAGGATGAAAGATTGAGAAATTTACCAAAGTGGGTTGTGTGATACCACCAGCCCGCATAGATTTGACACTGCTGATCCCGTGTCCTCTTCGATGCCGTGGTCTTTGCGCGGCGAACTCGGTGCCCATAGCATTTCCTTCCGCGATCCAGCAGAACAGAACGGTGTATCGTTCTCAAAAAGTTTGCACACGAAACATGAATTGTTGCGACGGCGGCTTTGTGGCACGAAGCGGCGTTGCAATGAGTTTCCTCGTGCCCCTGTCCACCGAGAGGCCAGTTCTCATCGGCACCAGAAATACCCACATTTGCAGCCATCGCAGCGCCTTCGAGGCCGAAACTGCAGCGCTCGGCGAAGGCTTAGTTGCGTTCCTCTCCGTGTGTTAGTTGTTTTTAAATAAACCTAGGGTTTGTTGTTTTCCCATTTTGCTTGATCTCGGCCTGTTGGGAAACATGCTTTAACAGTTTTTGGTGACCATAAAGAGCAGAGGTTGCTACAACAATTTGCTATTCGTTGTGCGCTAACTGGTAGTCGACATTTTTGTATAACGTGATCGCATTGCTTCACATTGCCGTCTACGGCGTCCTCATTTCTTTCTCCAGTTGTGCGTGTCCCTTATGTTTCAATTATCAGCATTATTGTTCCTGCTCCTCTTCTCTTGCCCTTGCTGCTGGCTGGGGCGTCGGGCCTCCAGGCCCGATGGTCGATTGCCCCTCCTGGAGCAATCGGGCGTCCTGGCCTGTCTCGGGTCAGTTTTAGACCGGTGTTGGAGCGTTGTTTAGTTTTTTGCGTTTTTGAGCTCGGTGATGGAGAACGGCGGCAGAAACGAGAATGCGGGAGCGGTGACATCATGGAAGACAACAAACAGCGTTCGATCAGAAAAG